CAGCATGCATTCACTGATAAGAGATGTTGACGATTCTTTTCCATTTGTTATGCTTCAATTGCTGTGGAACTGGTGGGAGCAATAGCTGGAAAAGCGATGGAAAGTTCATTTTTGAAAGAGACTTATTGAGCCCTTCCTCCGTCGAGCAAGATTGGCATTTTGCCTTTCTCTTTTCATTACCTCAACTGGACTATTTGTGGTTCCACAGAAATGGGAAAAAATTGATTTTTTTTTTCCTCTCCCAACTCATTGTTTTCTGTTAGTGCCAAAATTTGCTAAAGTACATGAAATTCAACCATAGATGACAGAGTGTATAACCTGATACCCTCAATTTTTCTTTAGTTTCCTAAAGAGTCTGCTGAAGTCTTTAAACAATTACAAACAAAAGTCCATTGGTGACAGTGAGCTAAAATGGGGGATCCAAATAATTGATAAATTAGTAGCTGGGATGAAAAATCTCCCTACTTCCTTGTTTCTTTTCCCCTCCAATTTCCAGTTAGAATAGTTGAATTATGTGTAAAATATGCTCAGGTATGTACTATAGTTCACTAGTACACAAGTAGTATGGAGGTCCTGGACTAATAATTCATTAAATATGAGTTCAAATCCTCAAATTATAAGTTGGTAAGAGTTTGAATTAAATTTGGGAGCCATTAAAGTGATAATGAAGCTACTGGATTATAATAAAACTCCAGCTAAAGTCCTTTAGGAGTAGAAACCTACTGTCATTGCCTAGTGTAGCCTAGAGATGATTCCAGTCACACATCAAAAGGATTGAATGTTAACTGCACTCTGAAGTGGCCTAGCAAACCACTCAGTTATGCCAGGAAAACTAAGAATGCATAATAAGTACTGGCCTTACTAGTGATCCCAATAATTAACATTTTTAAGCATCCAAGTAAATTTAAGGCATGTTGCATTAACAAAGAACAAAACTTAGTTGCCATCATTCTAAAAATGTTGCTGTGCCTTTGGAGTTTCAGAAATGATAATTTTATTGCCCTTTTATTGGGATCCTGCAGTATCCACTGCAAATGATGCTATATCTGTCTTTTTCTCTATCTCCTTCACCCTTCAAAATGAGACAACAATGCAGACTTCATGAGACCTCAAAAATTGACCTTGATCCCTGCATCTTTGCAATTTACTGCTCCATTTCAAAACCGCCTTTACAAGTCCATGAACATGTTGTCATTTCTCAAATTTGTGCCTTTCTCAGAACACCATGTTTGCATCTCTTCCATCAATTATCCACTTTGGTCGCAATACCAAAACAACGACTGTTATCAAAAGCACAAGTAACAGCATATGTAACTGATGAGAGTCAAACTGCCATTCACTCTCCTATTTTCTTATTGCTGTGTAAATGCTCCTCTTGTCCACCAGGCTCGGAGTGGATCACCTGGATCCATTCTTACCGATCTAATTGTAGCTAGAGAATAGTCTCCATTAGTTTCTCCTCTTCCTCCTGTAGAGTTAACCCTAACATCCTTTATGGATCTATACTTGGATCCCCTCCTCCTTTTCCTCCGCATGCTGTCCTTTGATGGCATCACCCAAAAACAAATATACAATCCTACATCTATGCTGATGACACCAAGCTGTACCACTGCAATACATCTCTCAATCCCTTCATTGCCTCAGATTGACTGTCCAACATCTAGTAATGTATGGACAACAATTTTCTCCAGCTAAATATTGAAAAAAAAACTGAAAGGTTTCAATTTTATTGTGTGATGATGGCAGAACTATCAACAATTCCTGTGATTGCTGAAACTCACAGCAACTTTCGGAGTTGGGATATGTGCAGAATGGGGAGGCAATGGCCTAGTGGTATTATCACTGGACTGTTCATACAGAGACCCAGATAATGTTCTGTCGACCTGGGTTCAAATCCTGCCACGGCAGATGGTGGAATTTGAATTTAATAAATATCTGGAATTAAGAGCCTAATGATGACCATGAATCCATTGCCAGTTGTCAGAAACACCCATCTGGCTCACTAATGTCCTTTAGGAAAGGGAACTGCCATTCTTACCTGGTCTGGCCTACATGTGACTCCAGACCCACAGCAATGTGGTTGACGCTTAACTGTCCTCCAGGTAATTAGGGATGGGCGGTAAATGCTGCCTAGCCAGCAACACCCTCATCCTATGAATGAAGAGAAAAGAATAACATGGAAATCAAAATTTTGCTGTCACTGAATGCTCAATTCTACATAGGGTGGAGCTTTCCACAGGCACCCTTAGAATCATATAAACCGAAAGAACTGCAGAAGCTATAAATCAGGAACAAAAACAAAGTTGCTGGAAAAGCTCAGCAGGTCTGGCAGCATCTGTGAAGGAAAAAATCTGAGTTAACATTTCGGGTCCGGTTCTGAGGAAGGGTCACCAGACCCAATACGTTAACTCTGAATTTTTTTCTTCACAGATGCTGCCAGACCTGCTGAGCTTTTACAGCAAATTGTTTTTAACCCTTAAAATCATGATTTGATGAGAACTTTAACTCCATCACTTGGCCTTTCTTTTAAAAAAATGTCTTGTGGAAATTAGGTGTCGAATTAGTTGTAAGTAATTTTGTGGTGTTACAGTACAACTCGAGAGTTACTGCATGATACCTGTACTGGCCCTGGAATCCAAATGTTTCTTTTTATAACGTCTGCAGTCCTTTTGGCTTTCATCTTAATAATCCTACTACTTCCACTACTTGACAATTTTTAAACTAAAAGCAAAGGATTGTAAATATTTCAGCTTCTGCATGTGCAATGCATACATACGTATGTACGTACCTGCTTGCTGACATTACAGCCTCAGCATACCAGAACATCCCATTAACTAGTTTGTGAACAGCAGCATGTGAGGTCAACAACAAGCTCCCTCTCTTTGGCTTTGAGCCCAAAAAACGGGTCATTGTCTTTGGTTGTAGAATTGTACAGTATGGAAGATGTTCTTTGGTTCATCGAGTCTGTACTGCCATAACTTTGCTAATACCTACACTAACTCCACTTTTCTGCACTAGACCCATAGCCTAGGTCCCTGCTTCAAATCCTATTTTCTAGCAATGCAGTTCATCCTTCTCATTAGCGATTGCATAAGGCAGAACCAGACTTTTCGCCACCTTCATGATATATTTGACCTTAGACTTTGCAACCACACATCCGTGCTAGCCTTAAGGTAACCCATTTCCCCTTCAGTGACCTCACTCACCTTGACCCATGCCACTGCTTATCTGCTGTCTGAAACACTCATCTGTGTCTTTGTTACATCCAGATTTGAAGATATAAATGCCTTGTCCCTCCGTAACGGGATAGTCTCTTCCAGTCCTACAATCTCCTACAATTTCAACATTGCTCTTGAGCATCCCCAATTTTAATGACTCCACTATCTGTGGCTGAGCATCCAGTTTCCAGTCTTCTGCGTTGTGAAATTCTTGCCCTAAACTTCTCCTTGTGGTCTTGAGGGTATCATCTACATGGTCACACCTAGCACTTCATCAAGAGATTGTTGTCTTGTGGGTGGGATATTAAACTCAGGTTAAACCAATTCCAGTGGGTGAGATAGACGTTGAAAATTGCATGGAACTGTTCAAATCGCAGGGAATTCTTTTGATTTCCTGGCCATTTAGTTGACTATCACCGAAATGGTCACTAGTCGATTGTGGTCTGTGTTGAGAATGTGAGCTTTATAATAAACTAGGCAAAGGTGCTGTGCAAGAATTAATTCCACTCCCGGTGATCACCAGAATTTTCCAACCAGCACCAAGACTTCGCTTGGCTGGTGATGAGAAGGGCACTACTTGTTAGACCCTTCATGTACGCCGGGCTCTCTGTGCTACTGCACACTGCCTTCGAAGTGGCTGCAGCGGGGTAGAGACTGTCACACATTTCCTTCTGGAATGTGTCTTTGCTAAGGAAGCCTGGATAGAGATGGAGTGGCTTTTGTTGAGATTCATCCTGAGCAACTCTATGATGCAAGAGCTCTACGGTCTGTTGCCCGGGTCGCGCACAGAGACAAACATTGACTGCGTCTGGTGGGGGTTCGATTAACTTGGTGAAAGCTGCTTTTTGGTCTACCCGAAACTTGTTGGTCTTCCAGAACAAGGAGTTGACCTTGACCTTGAGTGTTGCAGACTGGCATATTCCGAGGTCCAGGACCACATTCTCAGGGACGCACTGAAGCTTGGGGCAGCTACCACCAAGGCACAGCGGGGAGAGACCATCATTTAAGGACTTTCTGCTGAATTTAAATGGGGGTCCGTTCAGTTATTAGACACCACCCACTACTGTTTCCCCCCCGCCCCCCCATATGTAAATATTGTCTTGTACAAGTAAGAAATGCCTTTGGTTTGTCTGTGGGATACTCAAACTCCAATGTTGTTTGTTTCTTCTCGTACTGCTGTACAGACCTGAACTGCATCAGTGACGATGTGTGTATATAAAGATATTTTTATGGATAAAGTATGCTACTGAAATGAAAACAAAATCCACTCAGAAGCTTCAAGCTTTATTAAGGACTGGGGGGCAGAATTTTAATTGCGAGGCATGGATGTATTCGGGGCAAGTGAGAAAGTTTTTCAAAATATTTTAAAAGCATCTCGTACCTGCCTCCAACCTGCCCATTTCCGGAGGTGGGTCTGTTGTTATGATCATCCTGTGAGCTGTTAAGTGATGGGGTGATGTTAAAGATACAAAATATATAGAAAACACTTGAACTTGAAAAATGTGATTCAAAGGATGCGGTCAAACAAATGAAGAAAGTCTTATTGTAAATTGCTTTTACAAATGATGGTGAATAAAAATTGATACAGCTGTCAGTAATGTTAATTATTGTTTTAAGTCTCATGCTTTTCTCTCAATGTTGCTGTTTATGGATTTTCTGCTACATTAGGCTAAGCAGAATTATGACGTTGGGTGAATTTTCTGTTTGTTGTCTCTATTGAATAGCAAGGCATAACAATTCCAAATGGTAAAGCCATGTTAATCTCCTTTTTTTCTTTTTCAGCCCTAAGCCAACTGTACCAATCATCATCTCTGGTGCTTTAGCAAGGGTAAGACAGAAGTTACTCCTCCATTTTTCTCAATTTCTGTGAGACATCGATTTATATTTAGAGAGAGCAATTTAAAAGTTGGAGGCTGCTGGAAATGTATAGTTGAGCTGTTAGCACATGGAGTAAAAGTGAATGGTTAATGCTTCAGGTGTGGACCCTTCAATGCGTCCAAAACATTTCAATACTTTTTCTCCTCCACCTTCAGACTGATCCTCTGTGTATTTCCAGTGGTTTTGTGTATTGAAAAGTTCCAATATTTACCTGCAGGCACCTAGTGTTTAAAGCTGCCCCATTTGACTTTAATCTTGATACATTATTATTGAGTGCCACAAGATTTGTAATGGCATTCATTATGCAGTACGTTCCAGTGCCTGGCACAGTTAATGCCACTTTGGTGCGACCATTCCTTTTCTGACTTGCAGCCTCTCTAGGTGCCATACTCACTGTTCAATATCTACAGCAGGGACCTCAGACTGCCCAACAAAGTCATCTGAAATGCTGCCACCAATCCCAGTACATGACAGATCTGTCTGTGCCAGCTGTTCCTGGAGCTCAGGAACTGCTACTAACAACCATGATCCCCTTCTCTCCCTCGCCTGCCA